GGCCACTGAAATTCTGATAGAAATGACGTTCAATCTGCAGTCATCTGGGGAAGCACTGCCGCCTTCACCGTACGCCCTCTCCCGACCCAGGAACACGCGCTGCCCTGCGCTCACGGAGGTCTGCTTTCGCGTCTCCCCACAGTTCTGCGGTTTCCGGCGTGCACTGCTTCCACCTCTCCGCTCCAGTTTCTCCCCACGCGCTGCTCAGTTCAGACACGATCACACATGGGATTATTTTCTTCATTTTATTTTTGGAGTGTTTATTTCAAGCATTTAACAAAGTGACTGATTTTCGTGTGTGGATCCTGCACCCAGCTCATGTGGAAAACGTGTTTATCAGATACAAATTATGAACACTTTAGTTTTCTACACATAAAATTTTGTCATCTGTGACAGAAATTATTTTATTTCCTTTCCAATCTGAGAGTCTTTGTTTTTTAACGGTTATTCCCTGCCCTGCCTAGAGCCTCCAGTGCAATGTTAAGTAGAAGCGGGGAAAATGGAGCCCCTGTCCTGATCGTGGGGCTGGAGTGCACACCCTTTCACCGCTATGATGTTACTGTCGGTGTTTTACAGATGCCCTTGATGAGGTGAGAAACTCCTTTCTATTCCTACTTGGTGATGAACTTCATCAAATGCATTTTCTGCATCGACTGGGCTGTGTGTGTTTCCTTCACTTTTATCAGGATGACATGTTATATTACATGGATTTTAATTTTGCTGAACTACCCCTGCGTTTCTGGGAGAAGTCTCACGTGCTCAGGGTGTACCATCCCCCCCTCCAGCCCATTTTAGTGCTCTGTGAGGACTCCTGCAACAATACCCACAAAGGACACTGGTCTGCAGTCTTCTTGGGTTGTCTTTCTCTGGCCTTGGGATCACACTAATACTAGCTTCACAAAATGAGTTAAGAAGTGTTCTTTCCTCGATTTTCTGGAAGACTTCGAGAAAAATTAACGCTCACTTTTTACTTATCTGGTAGAATTCGCCAGTGAAGTCATCCAGCCCTGGCTTTCCTTTACTGGAAAGTGCCTGAGACTATGGACTCAATCTCCTTACTTGTCATAAATCTGTTCGGATTCTCTGTTTCTGCAGGACTTGGTGCCGATGGTTTGTGTTTCTAGGAACTCTCAGGTTTTATGAACTGCAAATGACTCCGTTTCTCCACTTTCGGAGGTGGCATTTGCAGGATACAGAATTCCTGAATGACAGTTTTTCCTTTCAGCGTTTTGAACATGTCACCCTACCACCTGCTGGCTCGCACGGTTTCTGGGGAGAGATCAGCTACTGACCTACTCAAGGACCTTCTCCGTGAGGACTCGTGTGACGCTTCTGAGGTTCTCTGTCCTTCCACGGCTTGGTTACAGAGTGGACTCCTGTGGGCCCTGATGAGTCTTTCTACTTCAAGTTCCTCAGACCAGACTACCTGTTAGCCTACTAGCAAGGCACCTTTCTTCTTCTTGTTCGAATCTGCTGTTGAGCCACTAGCGATGTTTTTTTCATTTCAGTTACCGCACTTTTCAACGCCAGAATTTCTTCTCTGGTCCTTTTTACAATTTCTGTTTATCTACATTTTGTGCTTTCTTTGATTACAGAACAGAGCATTTCCATATACAGGTACTTAATACACTACTTCCGAAAGAGCGGTCATAAGACTCCCATACGGCTACTTACATTAACCGTACACTTGAAGAAATCTGATTTTAAAACTAAGTTGTAACTCCTTACACAGAGGAGGGAAAATGAAACAACGCAGGAACTGAAGAGACAAAAATACTCAAATTTTAATCATCTAAGGATCAAACGCAGAACGCAATTGTCTAAATAGCCAAATTCTTATGGTAAATATATTATTTGAAGCAAAGAAAACCTTCCCAAAACTAACCAAAGACTTGAAAGAACATTTACATACGTGTGGTCCGACAGGAAGCAGAGAAGCCGGAGATGACCATGAGCCACAGAAAGGCCACAGACATGTGAGGGCCAGCGGGTCCTGACTTTACCTGGCGCTCTTCTTCTGTCAATTACGAGCGAACGACGTAAGCAGGCGTACGATGTGCCTAAGTCACCCTCCCACATCGGCACAACCCACGACCCGGCACCACCACCGCATGCGCAGGGAAGGCTCGGAAGGGCAGGCCGAGCCGCCTGCCAGGACAGAGCCCCGTGAGAGGCTGACGTGGAGCCACGGGACTCCAGGACCGGATCCCTGAGGCTCTGCCCACCAGTGGTGAAGCAGCGGAGTTGTAGTAAGACCCAGTGCGAGGCAGTGTGAGCCCACCGGCGTCAGAGTACCAGCCACAGGGGGCCCAGAGCCGGGAACGTCACGCACTTTACGTCAAAAGGATTCATTTTGGCTCTGTCAGTCACGATGCACTTCGAGAAACCCAGCGGCACAACCGGTGAAGCAAACAAGCTCCTCTGGGGCGTGAGGGACAGGCTGGGCAAAGTCACCAGCGAACGAAACACTTGCTGATCCTGAAGAGCCCAAGCCCTTCTCTCAACTCCGACCCCAACTGAGAATACCAGGAAATATGAAACCTTTAAAAAGAAAAAAAAAGGTAAATCTACCACAGTACAAGGTCAGTACTCAGTCTGAGGAGTGTTTTGTACAGTCCTTCCGACGTTTCTAGAAGTGTGAAGTTACACAAACAGAAAAACATGTAAGAAACATGATATCCAAATACATAAAACAAAAAGCAAAAGTATTACAAATTAGAAGTCAGGTACTAAATTTAAAGAAGATAATTAGCCAGTCTGCAGCTCTGACTTCTCATGGGTGGCAATATATACATGCCAGGAGATCCGGACGATTCCCAACCAGCCTCCAAGAAAATCAAGTTCGTCGGGTCAGCTGGTGGCTATTAAGAAAACGAGAATCACCAAGTTCATATACTTTCTGTATTAATTACTAGGTGGAGAAGAACGTGGAATATAAGTTCTTTATTAATAAAAAGGGACAATTTTTCATCTTTTCGTAATCTTAATTTTTCTCCCTATATAAATCTTTTATTTCTGTATGTCATTCCAGGAAAATCTTGAGTCCGTGTTATCAGAGAGTGAGATAAAGTCCAATTTCAGTAAGAATCTGGGAACACCTCTATTTCCTGCCAGGTGCTGTGCGCTGGAATGTGCTACATACACACGGTACATGTGGCAAAAGGAACATCGGGGAGGGTCAGCAGTCGAATCTGTGACTCTTGTACGACTCTCACAACTTTCCTCTAAGTCTGAATAATGTTAACAAAACAGTTAAAAATAATAATTTTAAAAATGCAATCACATGGGGCACCTGGGTGGCTCAGTGGGTTAAAGCCTCTGCCTTCGGCTCAGGTCGTGATCTCAGGGTCCTGGGATCGAGCCCCGCATCGGGCTCTCTGCTCCGTGGGGAGCCTGTTTCCCCCCTCCCTCTGTCTGCCTCTCTGCCTGCTTGTGACCTCTCTGTCAGATAAATAAATAAAATCTTAAAAAAAAAATGCAATCACAGACCTAAGATATCCAAATACATAAAACCATCCCAAGATTCAAGTCTAGAAGAACGGACAAATGCGCCGGGCAAAGAGGAAACGGAAGACACAGCAACAGCAGGACAAGAACAACCCATGAGCACGAACACTGGCCCGTCCCACTAGGAACCAGTAAAACGCATCACAGGAGGCGCCACGCATCACGCCCTGGAGCAAAAGCCGTTCCAAGACCGGAGTAGGGAGAGCTGCGTGGGCAGGAGCAGCAGGAACCACAGAGGGCCATCGCGGGGGGACGGGCAGCACCACCCCAGAGCTGGAAAGAGCAGGACCAGATTTAAAGGATGCCCTCCCCAACAGCGAGCCATGCCACCTCCCAGGGCTGACCTTAGACAATCCGGTCAATAGAGAGAGAGGCACAGGAAAGTACGTTCTTCCCAAGGCCGTTTAAAAGGTCGGCAACCGTGAACACCAGCAGCCGCACAGAGGAGCCGCGACACATAAGCGGGAAGTCCACGTTCAGTGCGCGCCGCAGTACGGCCACCGGCAGCGCCGCCACGGAAGGGGCTGCGGGACGCGATGAGCCGCCCACACTGGCACCTGCAGACGCCTCCCGGGGGCTTTGAGGGCACCACAAAGTCACGCCCCGCCGTGGGCTCCGCAGCCATGCCCGTCTGCAAAGGCCCGGCTCCAGCACGAGTATCAGGAAACAACGTGAGCGTGACACGAAGTTCATGACCGCTCCCACCAAGTTCATCCACAAGACACCAGGTGAGCCCACAAACCCAGGACCGGGGGGCACAAATCGCAGGCACCCCCCCACACTCACCAGCGGCCTCCCTCCACCCCACACATCCGCTGCCTCGACCCCCTCTGCCCATGAGCCCCGGTGGCGCATCCGCGGGGTAACCGCCCTATTCTCTCCGGAACCCAAGGGGGACCAAACCACTTCACGCGTGTCAACGGTGCCACGGCCCCTGCAAGGCTGCGGCCCGTCGGAAAGGAGCGGCCCTGACGAGGGCTGGGAGTGGCCGCGTCCCTCCTCCTCCATGTCAGAGGAGGATATTACCATGCGGTCCTGCGGGGTGCACAGTCCTCGGGAGCACACGTGCGGCCTCCCCGCAGGATGTACCGCACCTACACCGCGCAACAGGAATGCAGACTCCGTCACCAGCACTGCAGGCACCGCGGGGCCCACGTCCAGCTCACGTGGTCATCTTGCGGCGCCACAGGACCCGTGATGCTGCCCCGCGAGGACGAGGGGAAGAGCACAGGAGACCCAGTCCCAGTCCCGTGCAGGGGACAGGACCTCCTGAGTTTCCCACCATTAAAAGCGGGCGCTAATTCTCCGCGGAGCTCCTGCAGCACCGCTCAGAGGGAACTGGGGTTCCGAGCTCCGTGCACACCACGCGCGGCGCTCAAAGAAGCGGGCTGGCCTCCCGGGGAGGGGAAGGCCACGGCCACGGGGAGCAGCCCAGGAGGGCGCGGGCGCCCCTACCTCTGGGAGCCAACCCGAGGCCAGAAGGGGTTCCTTACTTCGTGGTACGTGTCCTCAAGCTCCCCGTCGTAGATCCAGCGGTACAGGAAGCTCAGCACGGGGTGGGACACCAGGCTGAGGATGTGCTGCACCAGCGACCTCACGTACGGGTCTCCCGTCTTTGTGTACGCGTGCACAGCGGAGGCCAGCTCACCCCCCTTCCTTCCTGCGGGACACACAGAGGACACCCGAGTTGCGCTCCGCACGCCCCGCGAGCGCGCCCTTGCCGGCACGCGCTTCCTCACGTGCCTCACTCAGCCCTCCCGACCCTGAGACGGGGCGACTCTCTGCCCGCGCGTGACAGCCCGAGAGAACGGACAGAGAGCTCTTGGCCGAGGGAGCACAGCGAGGAAACGCGCTGAGAAGACAAGCAGAGACGCAGACCAAGAGCCCAGGAGAGGCCTCGGCCGGACGTGCACGCTTGAGAGTGTGGGACACACGGTGGGAAAGCCGGGCGCGAGCCATAACCTCGGGGGGAAGAGACCCCAGGAAAGGCTGCCAGGTCGAGGCAAGCAAGAGAGGCACAAACACGAATAGTTACAGCCCGAGGACCACGAAAGCCTGAAAAACTAGGCCCTCCCTCCTTCCTCCACGTCAGTGAAATACTAAGCTTCCACAAATGCAGAGACAGGGCCGTGTTAGCAGCTGGTTATCCCCCCGCAAGTCATCTACGCGCCTGGACGTGACCGGCATGCGGAAGGATACCCACGAGCGGGCACAAAACAAACGTAGATGACGTCCCCGAAAACTCTCTTTGACTTAACAGAGGTCCAGGAGACGCAGAACCACCTTGGCAATGGTCCACCAGGGCCGCCAGCGTCTTCAGTCTTATCTTGGGGTCATACGTCCAAACCAGCAGGCGCCGGAGGGTCAGGCTACTCTCGAGGCCCAAATTCACACCCTGGTCGTCCTCTAACTGCAGCTGAGAAACCACAAAGACGAAACGTGTAAGTATGAGCTGCCAAATGCGTCCATCGGTTCTCAACCCACGTACAGAGAGCGCGACGCGAACGTCCCTCTGAGAGAAGAGCGGTCCCGTCAGGCTCCGAGGGATGCGTTTACGCGGGAGCCGGAACCCTGACAGCGAGAGCACTCGCCTCCAGGAGACACTGGAACTTCACGGACAGCCACCCCTTACAAATACCAATTTTATCTTTTAAGAGTAATTATGAAGAAACTTAAGAAGTCGATGGAGTTGCAATTGTGTAACACTGCAAATCGCAAAGACGTGAGAAAGCAAAGCTCACCTGGGAATGGAGAACAGAGAGCAGCCGGTAGTACTCCTTCAGCTCCTGGTGCAAGGCGGCACAGAAACTCTGTGGGGAAAAGCAGGTCCCATGAAGCACGACCTCGTCCTCACGTGCCACACAGCCTCCCACACCAGCCGGCGCGGAGTGTGCGGGCACCGGGCTTCCACCACTCGGTCCGCTGCAGGGTTGAAATGCTGTTGACGGGCCTGCACGGGCTCAGCCCCCACCACGTCTGCAGCTAATGTCAGGGACGTGTCACGCCTTAGCACGAACTTTGCAGAAAAGAAATGTAAAACACAGATGACGGCTAAAAGTGTATTCACTTTAGACAATAATCCTTTAGGATTATATTCCTGCCAAATCTTCAGTTAAAATCTGTTTCTCCAATGTTTTTAATTAGCAGCATTGGAAAACTGGCAACTCCATGCCTGTTCCTCCCAATTTTTCACTGTTGCTGTTTTGACACTCACCTTCCACACCTGCATGATTAAAACCTTCGTTGTACGTCTGCTATCTTAAACACTGCAAAGGTGACAAGTCAGAAGCTGTAAGGAAGACCTTCCCTTAGTCCTGAGACAGGAACTTTCCGGAAGGAGCCAGGATATAAACCAAGGTGTACCCAGTGGAACGAACCTGCAAAGGGTAACACCTGCTTCTTTGAACATCAGCCTGCACACCTGTTTGAAAGTGGCCCGCAAGCCATCATGTGGGGTTAATTTTAATGCATTCACGCACTCTCCGGTGTTCACACTCCACCAACAGCGACCGTGAACGACGTGCAGTGCTTGGTGCTCTCGGTCCACACACACTGTGGCCTCTGTCGTCCGGAGTGGACCGGGACAGCTACAATGTTCTATTATCAAAACTTCTCTATTTGAGAAGAAACCTCTTTTTAAGAATTACCTTCATAACAAGATTTTAAGTACACTAAGTACTCCCCAAATGAATAGTGTCCTAAATGTTCTGGTAACAATGAACATACCTGACCCACAAGTCCAAATGAGCGGTCTAGACTCCTCTGGTCGGTGTATTTTCTGATTTTATTGTGTAACCATCCCAACTCCGCAAGTCTGACTGCCGTATCCCTCAAAGATCTACTTAGGTTTGCCTAAAAGGTAAATATATCAAGAGTTAAAAGTTAACACTAGAATTTTAATTATTATTTTTCTCAATCATTTGTACTTTCAGTTAATTCTAAGGTTCCAACACATGGAACTTAAAAGTGACTAATACACCATCAATAAAGACAAAAAGAGATTCTGGGAAACAAAGGCACCAGGTGCTGGCAGGGAGATAAAACCTCTCTGTGGAAGTGTGAGGCTCAGGGCACCTCCCTGAGGCGCGACTGGAGGAGCCCCCAGCGCGGCCTGTGCCCTCAGCCACTGCTTCCAACAGCCGGGAGCTGCAGAAGGCTGTGGGAGAGCAGGTTCTGGAAGGTGAATGCAGGTCAGCAGAGGCACCTTATCGGGAACCGTCTGCCTACAGCCGAGATGCCAAGCTGTACCGGCCCTTGGGTGCCTCTCTGACACCACCACACAGGATGCAGGGGGCAGATGAGGAAGGAGAAGGGCCCAAACACGAGCCCGTGAGCCCACGAGCACACGGGGACCTGGACCACGCAGCTGACTGGCAAACCAAGCTCTGACCCCAGTCACCCCAATCCCACCTCGTCACGGCTCCCACTGGCCTGGCGGGCGTCGGCCTCTCCTGCTCACGCAGGTCTGACGGGGGCTGCATCCTGTACCTTGGCCTCCACTTTGTAGCAGTTCTCCGCGCTGCTCATCTTGATGTTCTTGCCGTCTATGCCCTGGAAGACGTACAGAATGTCTCTGACGAGCGCTGCCTCCGTCACTTCCGCAGCACCTGAAAGACGGTTTTTGTAAGAAAGTAATTAGCAAACAACACATTTTAAGATGGAATAAATTTTAGGACACGATTAGTTTTACGTTATGCATGTGCAACCACAATAAAATTTAAAAAAAAAAAAAAGAGCCTAAGATGGAAAAAGTATGAAGTTCTAAGAAACAAGAATTCTCTAAAAAGGATATGGAGAGCGTGTGAGTACTTCTACAAAAAGTCTTAAAAAAAAAAAAAAAAGGCAGTGGGGCACAGGGCTGGCTCGGTCGGTGGAGCGTCCTCTCTTGTTCTCGGGGGCGCACGTTGGAGCCCCACGCTGTATACGGAGATGACTTAAAAAGACGGTCTTCATTAAAGAAAGAAATGCACACACACAGCAGCATGTGGGGACCTAATACACAATCCAGGCGCGACACGCACAAGAAACAGCAGCACAGGTCCATCAGAGAGACGGGTGACGCTTTCCTAAGACGGGGTGTGCAGAGCTGGGTGTTACACAGCGCGCAGACAGACACAGGTCCGTCCGCAACCACATGAAGAGGAGTGCAGAGAGCGGAAAAGTTAGGATTTCCACGAACCCTGAACAAAAACTAAGTCAGAGTTTAGATGTCACCCAATGACAAGGAGGCGATGCCCAGAAATTCAAGTCATCAGTGGGAGGAAAAGATGCAACATGTATACAGTCAAGGTCGGCCCTCCCAGAACCTGGGCAGAGAATCAGAAGGTGAGGACAGGTTTGTATTTCAGTCGTGGAGAAAATATTCCATGAACATCGCCGACATCAAACTGCTGGTGGTACTGTTGGAATGTCGCCCACCTGTCATTCCGGACTGTTCTGTCTACTCCTCTCCGTCGATTACCGTCAGACAAGTAGGCACACCAGCTGCAACCGCAGGTGTCTGCTCCCTGTAGAGCGCCTGGTTTTCCTTGGTGCATCTGAAGCTCTGAGACCAGGCGAACATACACTCAGCAGCATTATTTCTTCTGAAGAACCGACCCTTTCGTTGTTATCAACGTCCCTCTGGCCCTGGCGACACTCCTGCCCCGGCCTCCTGCCACAGTGACGTGCCAACGAGGCCACCCGTCTTCCTACGGTCAGTGTCTACGAGATGCACTTCTCCGTCCCCTTACTTCTAACCGACCTGCGTCCCTACATTTAGGACACATCTCTTCTGAGAGTACGTAATTGCCTCCACAGAATTTTACGTCCTTTAAAGGAAGTGTCTAGTCCATCCACACTGCATGAGACCCTGGATGTGTCCGGCTTCAATCTGCCACCGCAGCTTCCTGTCCAGCCCTTCCTGCGTCCCTCGCACGTCCCCTCCTGCTCCTCTGGACTGACCGGCAACACCGTGACATATTTTCATGTTAGCTCTCACATTACACGGGCTTGAAGACGCTGCTTAGAGATCGGAAGCCACAGCCAATGAGCATCGGAGAAGGGCACTCTCCCCGTCTGGGCGCCAGCCTCCCAGCCAGAGCCTCCCAAGCCGTCCCGTGTTACAGGACGGACAGAGGCAGGAAGTGCAGCTGCACGGGCCGGGCTCCGCGCTCTGGGCCGTGTTCCCAGGTGCACACAAGACACGCCTGGCCCTTGCCTTCTGCGTAAGCAAAGACACAGCCAGCGGGACTTCCAAAGCTACAGGGGATAAGCCGACAACGCAGCCATCCCTCTGTTCGCAGACACTCATGTTCCGAAGACCGCTACTATCAGGCTCTCTGGAAACTCATTTTTTTCGGGATCTAGTGGAGTTTTAAGACCCTCCAGGTATCCGCTTAACCATCAAATAAATCTTCAATAGGTTTCTCCAACGTCCCAGGCACTGCCAAACCTCCCAAGGCACGTGAGACCATACTCTGACTCCGAACCTCAGGTCATGAGAACCCCCACCACTCGACAATCGTAAGCAAGGACTCCTCATCCGTATTTTAAGATAAGGGAAGCATAAATTCCAAGTATCAAAGAAAATCTACATTAAAGTCTGTCCTTACTCACCACCTGCGTCCCCTTCCCTCCTTGGTCTTGTCATATTGCGAGAAAAAGCGTTCGGGAGACCTTTTGAGGTAGTGGTTTGTGAAGAAGGCTGGTTTGCAGCCAGAGTCCACGCGAGACGTGACCCCAGCTGCTGCCGCAGACCGTCCCCCACTCCGGGCGCGTGATGAGGCTGTCTGAAAGAAGAAAGAGCGTTTCATATCTCCAAACACCCAGGCTGCTCACTCGACAGACAAACCACTCCTAGAAATTCTGCTTCTATTACTATATCGGATGATGTAATGTTAGAAATCTGGGCTGGGCGAGTGACACCACCTACGCAAATCCGTCAGCTGACCGGTCCGGGGGCTCTTCGGGGCCTTTAAGCGGGCACTCAGGCTCTTGCTGGCACCTCCCACCTATTTCTTAGCATAAAAATCAAAATCTATTTGGCTTTTCTTTACAAACACATAACATACATAACTGAAACCACTTTGAAATTCACCACTAATTTTAACTTCAAACTTAGCCAGCACTGGCAGACCACAGAAGTTAAAAATCTGGAGTGCTGTCCCCTCTCTGCATGCTCAGTCGTCTCCCAGCATTTGCAATGTTCAATACAAAACAAAACATCGTAATTTGCAATTAATTCCAAAAATGTACAAATGGAAAGTCAAAGACAAAAGCACAAAAGTCAGGACAGCTTTTGATGATTTGGAGAATAAGGCAAAGCTGTTCTATGACGGGTGCCCGGGTGGCTCAGCCGGTGAAGCGTCTGCTTCGGCTCAGGTCATGATCCCGGGGTCCTGGGATCGAGCCCCGCACCGGGTTCCCTGCTCAGCGGGGAGCCTGCTTCTCCCTCTCCCTCTGCTGCTCCCCCTGCCTCTGCTCTCTCCCTCTCATTCTCTCAAATAAATAAAATCTTAAAAAAAAAAAAAAAAAAAGCTGCTCTCTGAAATTCTAAAATCCCAACAGCTGATTTCTGAGGACGTATGTTTCAACACTTGCAACAAAAATACCACTTCTCGGGCTGCAGCACACAACGAGCCTCCACAAGGCGGACTGATTCACTTGGTGCCACGCGGACAGCCCCATCTGTCCCCACCGACGCAGTGAGCAGGGAACAGCCCTTTCTCTTTTCTAGCTTCAATGGGAAAAGTCCTCCATGGCACTTGTCGAACTATGACCTTTAATGCAGTTCTAGATTTAAGAGAAAAATCCAAAGGACCATTTCAGTTCACAGTTCTCTACACAGTTTTTTTAGTATCAGAATTATTCAAATTCTAAAGCAAAAGTGACGAAGTCTGTTGACTCTTTTAGCCAGAATACGCATCAGAGAGTACATCTCCAGAACCTCTTCCGCTGTCTTTCTGGAAACCAGACGGCATGTATAACCCACGTGTGGCGCATACATTCGAGGTTCTAGGGCCGTGAACCTAACCATATTTACGTCACACATTAACTTCCCAGGATGCCATGGTCACGCGGAACACACGCAACCCCGACTCTCTAGTCACTGGTCTGGAAAAATACCCACTTTATGACAGTCAGCTTCAATGTGACTGCCAGGAAGGAACCACACACAGAAACATGTAAAAAGACAAGAAAAGCAAAGTTTCGAGTTTACTACTCTATGAGCAGCGGTTCCATTCCCAAGCACAAACTGTGTCCCCAGAAAACACGGCACGCCGGCCGCGCACTCCCGGAGCTCACCCTCAGCACCGAGCAGCACATGGCGCCGTGACGCTCGGTCGCAGGAGAGCCCAGCACTTGAGGACAAGACAGCTTTATTTCAGTTCACTTATCTCTTCAATAATTCAGCAACGAGACCAGCACGCATCAGTGAAGGAGACGATATTCACTGAGAGGTAAGTCCAGAACACAGCAAGGGAAATGTCTACGAGCTACCGCACAGCGACAGGCCCATCCTGTCACACTTCTGCACGGGGCCGTTGCTAACACGTACTTGCGTTAACAGGGTGAGAGCAGACCAAGCATCATCACGGCCAACCACAACTAGAAGTGCAAAGAATTCCCGTTGGAGACAGTTTTTGGAAAGAATAAAATCCTAAGAGGAAGCACATCAGATACAGTGCCTAGAACATTCACGGCACACACGAGGCTCTACAGAGAGTTTCAGTGAACACACAAAATGCCTGATCAAAGCCTGAGGATTCTTCCGTCTCTACTGGTTAAGCGACGTGCGTGTGCAAGCTGGATTTACCCTGGAAGGAGAGACTGTGGCGTTGGGGTCGGGCCATTTAAGGCGTACACACTTATGCTGCTGACGCCACTGCTTCCCATGCTACCGGCGCTCTGGGCCGACTGGGTGCTGCGGTCCTGGTAGTTCAGCGGCAGAGTCTGAGGCCTGGCGTAGTAGTAGGGAGTCGAGTGAGCATCTCTTGGTAACGCTTGGGCAAATAACGCGGCATAGGTGGAAACCTGGAAAGGAAATCCATTAAGAACAGAGACACAGGGCCACCTGGGTGGCTCAGTCGGCTCAGCATCCGACTCTTGGTATGAGTTCTGGTCATGACCTCAGGGTTGCGGGATCAAGCCCTGCATTGGGCTCCGCACTCGGTGTGAAGTCTATCTCTCGCTGCCTCCCCTCGCTTCTGTGCTCTCTCTCTACCCCTAAAATAATTAAATAAAATCTTTAAAAAAATACAAAAATTACAGAACACTTCCCAAATTAATAAAGGTAACGTATATTCAGATGTTGGTTCTATAATCGAGTTCGTACTCAGTAGCAATAATTTGTTATACTCTGAAATATGGCAGAACCGACTCAGTTGCAGAATGTTTTCTAAACTCCAAACTGCCACATGGTCTGACAACTGAACACATTCTTCAGAATCCAAGCAAACTAAAACCCAAGTAATTACTCAAATGTGTCTGCAGGGGTGGCACTACTCTAAAATCAAAACGCGCTCGTTACTCAGACGGAGGCTTTCAACACAGAGAGCCCCCCGCGGGAGGCACGCAGGTCCCTGCGGTAGAGCACCCCTCGTAGCGGACACCTTGGGTCCGCGGCAGCCCGACAGCTCTTGCGGACACCGCCCGGGCCACAGACGGAGCCCGCGTGACAACGAAGTTCACACGGGCAGGACAGTAGTCAATGTTCATGATGACACGTGAAGACACCAGAAAACCTGAAAGGTCCTCTAACCCGCACGGAACTGTGCGGCATGCTCCTGTCAGTAACCTGTGAAAACCGTTTTCCCGCTCTATTCCACGGGACGCGGTCACATCGGAGGCAATGACGTAACTCCGGAAAAGTGAGTACCCGGTCTAAAGAAAGAGGGGCGCCTGGGGACCCAGTGGGTGAAGCCGCTGCCTTCGGTTCCGGTCATGATCCCAGGGTCCTGGGATCGAGTCCCGCATCGGGCTCCTCTTTGCCCGGTGAGGAGCCTGGTTGTCCCTCTGCCTGCCTCTCCCTCTGCTTGTCCTCACTGGCTCTCTGACAAATAAATAAAATCTTTTAGAAAAAAAAAGAAAAAAAGAAAATCTCCTGACCTGCCACGAATAGCAAGAAAACTAGACAAGTTGTTTATTCCCTTACTATTTTCTGAAGCACAGAAGCCAATTCCTATCAAAACTTGGTATCGTTGTCCCAGCAAGACCCTGGGATTCCCGCCCTTCCTCTGCCCTCCCGCCCCGCACGCAGGCGCGCGCTGTGACACGGGAGCGGATCTGCAGAAGAAAAGGCACGAGCCGCTGAGACTGAGCCTCTCACCTTGTTCGGCTGCTTGCGTGGATCTTCACTGAGGCTTAGCAAGAGGTAGAGAACTGACCATTTATTTTTCAAAACTCCCTGTTTAAAAAGAAAACATTACAAGAACAAGTTTGCACTACTCTCCGGTTTTACCTACCTCTCTCCTAAATTACATTTCCGAACTAGAAACGCGTTCTTTTAATTCGCAGGATACCGAGTCTAGGGACGCTCATTTTTTGGGGACTGCCAACAGCACTGCCCACTGAGTAAGGCTGGAAGTAACGCTCTCGAGGGGTCATCCCCCGCCGAAAACGATTCTGCAGTCCCTAATGGGAACGTTTTTGAATCACCCTATTACGGATTCCAGATTAACAGCAGTTCCCCCTTAGAATAATTTTTAGAATAACCAACTTCCTAAACATAGCAATTATAAACAAAATGCCATCATAAAACAGGGGATTGCGTCCCGCCCCACCCCCAACAAAGTGCCGTTTGCCATGAAAGAGCATTATAGATAGAAAGAAAAAGGAATTCTAAAGCACGCGCTGTAAGCCTCAGCGTCGTGCATACCTAAACCCAAGGTTCTGAAGGAAGAGCTGCCAGACAAGCTAACCGCCAGGTTTCTGCGTGAGGCCGCCTTCGGGATCTCATTTGCTCCCAACAGTCTATGGCCACCCCCTGACTCACCCGGGAGCAGCCCACCCTCGATATGTTTCTTCCCAGATTTACAGAGTGTTTCTACTCTATTCATATGGCCTTACCTTTGGATGCACAAGCTAGAGTACATAAACACCTTTTATTTACAAAACTGCGACGGTTATATTCACTTTACACAAGTTCTTTGTTATAGAAAATATGCCTTGGAAGTTTCGTAAAATAAAAAGCTCATCTCAGGTATTTAACTTATGATCTAACTTAAAAAACCAATTTACTGGGGCGCCTGGGTGGCTCAGTGGGTTAAGCCCCTGCCTTTGGCTCAGGTCGTGATCTCAGGGTCCTGGGATTGAGCCCCGCATCGGGGGTCCCTGCTCAGTGGGGAGCCTGCTTCTCCCCACCTCTCTCTCTGCCTGCCTCTCTGCCGGCTTGTGATCCCTCTCTGTTAAGTAAATGAATAAAAATCTTAAAAAAAAAAAAAAACTGATTTACACATAATTTTCCAGAAATAATAAACTCACCAGCCCCAACATTCCTCACTCTGGTGGCAAAAAGACAAACGAGCAGAGGTACTCTGGTGGGACGCAGGACATCTCAGACCTGGGGTGGGGGTCACAAGTGGCCCAACGCTTACAAAAGGACCCCAGAGAGGACAGGGTCTCCTAGAGAAACGGGCGATGCGCACACAGAGGAGGGAGCAGGAACGGCCTTTTCAGGGAAGCGGACACAGATGAACCCAGCTAACGCCAGGCAGGAGCATGGACACTGGGAACGGAATGCAGCCTCAGACAAAGGGGTCTCCTGTGTGGGACCAAAAAATGGGACAGCAGGAAGGCTGCAACGGCCTGAATGCACCTGCCGACAGTCCCTGAAGGCTGGACTGCGGAGGAGACAAGACGAGACGCACAGGAAACTGCAGTCATTTGGGAAGACACGGCCAAGGGCAAGGTGGGCACTTGGTGACCCAGCATCTACCCAGACAACCTTCACAGCCCCCTGTGGGCAGACCCCGGGCTTGGGGACTCCACGGACACAGGAGCAGGGCCTGAAGCCCGTCTGCCCGCGTCCGAAGGGCCGCTCCTCACCGGATCCCACCTCCTTCAAGGGTGGGAGGCGATCAGCTAAGGGCACTGCGGCTGACAGGAAGCCCGTGGGCGACGTCCTCCACACATGGCCTCCGGCCATCGGCGCACCCGCGCGGGGACACAGGCTTTACTCTCTTCGCTCCACACACCACAGAGCCAGAGGTGGAAAGCTAAGCGACCTCTGTCACCGTAAGCTGGGCTGCAAACCGAGGCCCGCCTGACTCCCGAGGGAGAGCGGAGAGGCCCGCCTGCGAGGAAGCGCGAACACCGCCTGGGACACCGTGGAAGGGGAGAGAGGCGGAGTCAATGTGACACTCAGGCTTCTGGCTGCCCCTTAATAAACAAGGTCATGTTCACCAAAAAACGAAAACACAGAGGAAAGAGCAGGGCGAGCCTGGACAGCGGTGGAGGGCCCCTGGGGCTGTGAAACAAGAAAATACAGAAGAGCCCTTCAGTGCGGGGGAGGGGCCCCCGGGTGGGGCTTCGGGAAGGCGGCACAGGCTGTCCCGGTGCAGCACGTGGCCCGGGATGGACCCTCGGCCCTGGCCTGGAGAAACCCAGACGACACGCAGGGCGGAGCAGAGGACGCTGTAAAAGCATATGGAACTGGGCACCAACCGCCCAGCAAGCGGCGCCTGTGCAGGAGGCACCGCTGTCGGCAGAAGAGCCTGAGGGCGAGTGAGGCAGGGGCCCTGCAAAGGGGCGCGCGCTGCAGGGAACCCAGGACCCTCACCAGAGGCAGGCCCGAGGGGCCGGGGGGGACGCGGCTCCCCAGAGCCAGGGAGCAGCGCATGGCCGTGCTCTGGCCTGGAGCCAGCACGGAGCCGCCGCCCGGCAGGAGCGGGGGAGCAGCAGGGCCTCACCGCCTGGAGCCCCCTCAGCCCCGGGGGCCCAAGCAGGGGCAGCCCCCCGGCCCTCAGGCCCCCAGAGCCCAAAGCAGCACACAGAGGGCGGGGCAGTCAGCGGCACAGCCTCAGACGTCTTCGATGCTTCTGACCCGCTGCAGGCCCTGCTAGCCAGCGCCTGACGTCTCAGGGCCCCGACTCCAGCGTCAACCTCAGACGCACAGCCTGGGCCCAACGGCAAGAGGACGCACGGGGCCCGGAGGACCCAGAGGGACTTCAGAACCAGCGGCTGAGTGAAGCGGCTACGACCCGACGCGCCAGCGTCAGGCGGCACTCTCCCCTCCCGACCAATGTCACCCCTGCACGGCCGGCCACCCGCCAGCCCTGACCCTCCACCTGCCCCGCGCCACCCTCACCCCGTGCCCCTTTTGCTTGGCAGGTACCGCGGCACACTCGCCGCGCCTCTATCCGGCTCAGCGACATCGAGACCGCCACCGGGGAATTCCGGATCCCCTTCCCCAACGTCACTCCTGCCACGCCCCGAGTCCTGCCCGCGCCTCACAGATGCACAGCTGAGAAGGGCCCTCAGTGGGGAGACGGAAGAAACATCGACGCTGGACTGGACGCCTGCTACTCTGCGGGGATTCTCCTAATCACTTTAGTTCTAGCGTTATACTGCTGTGTCCTAACACCGCCCGTCCCCTTTCAGCCGCGCAATGAGCCACGCTGGTTGGCTGTTAGCCCCAGGAAGCCGGCTGTCTAAACTGCTTAAGAATGAGCATTCAGTGTTCCAAACAAAATTTTGGAAAACCACCATTTTAAATTAGAAATAAAGAGAGGGGCGCCTGGGTGGCTCAGTGGGTTAAAGCCTCTGCCTTCGGCTCAGGTCATGATCCCAGGGTCGTGGGATCGAGCCCCGCATCGGGCTCTCTGCTCGGCGGGGAGCCTGCTTCCTCCTCTCTCTCTGCCTGCCTCTCTGCCTACTGTGATCTCTGTCAAATAAATTTTTTTTTTTTAAATCTTTAAAAAAAAAGAAAAGAAAAGAAATAAAGAGAGAAACTTGAAAGACAAGTTCAATCACTAAGAGCCTTAGGCACAACTCAGTAAAAACCACTGTACTTGAAGAGTCAAGCGCGAGGCTTCTGTGGCCTGTCTTCTCCGTGACGGGGGAGGGGAGGGCTACATGAGCTACACTCCTGTCCCGGCAGAACACAGGACTCTCACCCCCGGTTAATCCGCGTGTACAGGAGGGCAGAGGCTTCTGTTTAAGGGGAAAAAACGGTTTAAAAAAAACACAAACCGCTTGTGTGCAAGTTATCAACGTCCAATCACAAAATGTTCAAAATCAAAATTTTTTTCAGTTATTCACTCGAACAGCCCCGATCGGGGTCTGATCCCAGAACAGGAGCGCGGATCTAGAGGACCAGCTCTCGGTGTGATGTGCAGTGAAGACTCGCACCGGCGAGCTCCCTCCCCGCGAGGGAACGGAGCCCTCTACCCCAGGAGCTCAGCCGTCCCTAATCCCCATGACCCTCCCCACACGGCTTCCGTCGTCTTCATTAGCAATGTGCCATTAAATCCATCTAAAACTTACTTTTAACGCTGAAAAGCTCTTAAGAAGCAAACGCAATCTACCGTTAGAAGCCATCACTCAACGCAGACAGTGAAACGCGGCGCCCAGCCCCCAGAGCGGCCCGCCAGCCGCGGCCCCGCAGGACGTGCAGTACCTGTGAGTGCAGCTTCCTGTGCAGCTCCGAGAACAAGGCAGCGTCCGCTTCTCGTCTTTGCCGGATAACTGGGAAGTGAGAAAAGAAAAGGAGTGTGTTAACCGTGTACACCAAAATCCCTTCTACGGTCGTTTCACCCACGGAAACAGGTAACTGACATCTGCAAAGAATCCCGAGCTTAAGAGTCGAAATAACTCGTCAACAGGTGACGTTCCAGCTCTACAGCCTCAGTCCGTGCCTTTAACCTCTCTGACGTTTGTAAGATCTGCATAACACGAGGCTGCAATCAGAGTTTACGAGAAAGTTGGCCAAAGCAACAGAATGATGGGACCTTCGGGTTCTATCTGCAAACATCAACGAGCAGTCCGGTGAGGCCAAGTCCCACCAGTCTGACTCCTCAGCGACTCCCTGGAGTGAGGCGCGGGTGAGAACACGGCGGCAGTGCTGAATCCAGACAGCAATGAGCGAAGCCTTCACAGCAGCCAGACTCGGAACCGCACGCCGCAAGCGCTTCTGCAGACACGGAGCAGACACCAGTAAGTGCCTTCAGACACCTGCGCTACACTCACCGGCTCCTGGAAGCCAAAGAACAAGCCAGGTGCCCGTGCTCTGATCCGTTCCACAAAGGATGAGGCTACGGGCTGGGCCCGGGCCCCGAGGGAGGAGACCCCACCACCCACACCTGCCACACTGCACACAGCAGCTGTGCGCGCGCCTGCCCCGGGAGAAGAGGCGCCACCTTCGCCGAGCAAACAGCAGCAGGACTGCTGTCTGGAGATCCCATCAGCCAAGTTCACGGAGCTCTAAACGCTCCAACCGGTTTGCAGAAAGACAGTAACTAGCTTGACGGCCGATCCTCCCTCACGCACACCAGCTGGGAATGGGTCTTGGTATCACGTTCCGACCTCACGAACCACAGACCAGAGGTTTTGTCACCCCGGTCCCATCTGCCCTACCAAGTCGTCCTATGCAGAAAAGCAAAGCTGCCTTTAAGGGGTATTGCTACAAAATGCTTTCAACTAAGATAACGCAATTAAAATTCAACTTATTTCCTTTTCAAATATACAAAAATACTCCAAATAAATACCGTCATTAAGTTAAGCAAGAGATGTTCTTTCTATAGAATGAGACCCACACTAATCCACACAGGCAGAACAATCACGGAACAGCAAAACTGTACATAACACAAATAAAAATAAACAGAACATTCACCAGAAAATGATGTTTTATCTGTCAGACTGCAAAACAAATCTTTACTTACAATGTATCCCACTCACTAATGTGAGAAATTCAGAAATCATTAGGTGTTAAATTTCGTCACATGAGTTTTGCAATTTGTTTCAGTATAAAATGTGCTAGTGTTTTGCATTTTAAGTCCACCATATAAAATGGAAAATGACTTTTGTATTATTCCAAAGGACAGAACTACCTTAATTCAGTTCATCTACTGAAGACTGTACGCAAGTATCAAAAAACTTCTGTGTAAGATTTAATGAAACCGGGAAGTCAGTGGTGACCATGACGCGAGAGAAACATCAGTAACACTGCACTGCCAGCAGCTGGGCCGCCTCAGACCCCGAGAGGGGTGCGGACAGCGTGGGGTGCCCAACAGAGCAATGGCCACCTGGAGGGAAGAGGCAGAAAAGGCGTGCTGCGTCGACACACCGGTCTTCAAAACCGCAGAAGGTACACACACCCCAACTATGCACGACCACAGCTTTCTTCTTAAAGGAAATCCCAAGACTTCTTTGCAACATCCACTCCAGCAATGTCGCTGCCAGTCCTGTAACTCTGAGTTCAGACAAACTTTTTCTACTCAATGAGCCAGCAAAGAGGACACTAGTTTCAGACGTAGTGCTCAACAATTCGTGGGCTGCGTACCACGGCCAGTGTTCATCACACCATGGGCCCCCCTCACTGCCCGTGATAAACCTGATTACGCGTTCGCACACACACACCAGGAGGCCTTGAGATGCAAATCTGCAAAGGGAACAGTCTGTTAACACAGTTCCTGACGGCCGGAGATGTCACTAATCATCCAAAATGGAAAATAATCTAAAGTCAGAAATGCTAAAATAATCCAGGATGTGAGAGTGTTACAGCTCCAGGAGAGCGGGGCTCTTACGTTCAGCTTTACAGACAAGAAATGTAAATAAAAATAAGATTTTAGGAGTGCCTGGGTGGCTCAGCTGGTACGGTGCCTGCCTTCGCCCCAGGCTCAAGTCCCGCATCGGGCTCCCTGCTCAGCATGGAATCTGCTTCTTGCTCTGACCTTCCCCCTCTCATTCCCTGTCTCTCAAACAAACAAATAAAATTTTTTTAAAAAAAAAATAAGATTTTAGAGGTTAACAGCAGGATAAATCCTCCATTTGTGTCCCTCCCCTAAATAATACATCACGCTCAGTAACACCAATGGATGGGTCACTTCAGGGCTGTGCCGAGGAGAGGACGGCCAAGCCAAGGTACCCGAGGGCCACCGCCTCGCTAGCAGGGCCACCTCCCCCGAGCTGGGCTCCACAGCAGGGCGTGCAGACCACGGGCCAAACGCAGGAAAGGGCGCAGCGGCTCGGGTGACTACGCCACAAAGAAGGGAAACCCTAGAAGGCATCATCACAGGGTTGCCAACACCGAAGTCCATCCGAAGCCCACTTCGTCCGGGCGGTTCAGAGCCAGGCCAGGCCTCAGCAGGGAGAAAGCGGTGACCTTCACAGCAAGGCTGCTTCCTGGCAGCCGAAGCGGGGCTCGGATAGCCTGGAGAACCGCAAGGAGCCGGCCTCCAGAGAAAAACCACCCTCCAACGGGCACGAGAGAAATCTTCCTACGTGGGCTCTTCTGTGCAAAGCGCCGTTCCTCACACAGAGCCGGGGCCCCACCTCGCACGGAGAACAAACACGTCAGCCACCCAGAGCGAATAAAGGAAAAGCTTTCTTCTCGGAGGTGATGAAGTCTACGAGAGCTTTCAGTATAGCTCAGAATGAAAATGTTCACAACTTCTAAAGTACCAGAAGTCGGACGCGGACAATCAGCAGAGGCTACTGCGCCGCTCCGTGGTACCTGGTCAGAGCGGGCAGAGGGGGCAGAGGGGGCAGAGGGGGCGCACAAGCCCTACAAGCGGCAGGATGCCCCGGAGCTCGCAGCCAGCTTCATCGCCCGCACCCACACATTCTGCTGGTGCGCCTGGGGCCGCCTGGGGGCTCCCTCTGTGTGGCGTCTGACTCTTGATTTGGCTCAGGTCATGACCTCAGGGTCCTGGGATGGAGCTCCAGGTCGGGCTCTGAGCTCAGCAGGGAGCCTGCTCCTCTCCCTCTCCCTCTCCCTCTGCACCTCCCCTCATGCTCTCTACTTCAATTAAATAAATCTTTGAAAAAATAAAAAAAATTTAAAAACCCTCTTGCACTATGTTCTAATAAAAGACACAATTAAGTTGTCCATATTTTTTTTAAGATTTTATTTATGTATTTGACACACAGAGATCACAAGCAGGCAGAGAGGCAGGCAGAGAGAGAGGGAGAAGCAGGCTTCCTGCCGAGCAGAGAGCCCGATGCGGGGCTCGATCCCAGGACCCTGAGATCATGACCTGAGCCGAAAGCAGAGGCTTTAACCCACTGAGCCACCCCGGCGCCCCAAGTTGTCCATGTTTTTAATACATGTTTTATATACATGCGAACAGCACCTGTAATCACACCGTGCCTGGAGCCACAGGCGAGCACACGTGTGCATGTGTATGCACGCACACAAGTTCAAAAATCCTACACACCGTGACACCGAAAAAAATACGTACGTTCTTTCTTGATTTTTTCCGCTACAAGAAATTCGTCTCTTTCGACCGTCGGGGCGAAGTTGCTGCCGATGACGCGCACGGCGTACTGGAACTGCTGGGCCACATCAGCTGCAGGGAACAAGAGGACGCAGGTCACTGGCGCTCAGGGAAAGCGCTCGCCGCCTCGCGCGTCAGGTGGGAACCGCGCACGCCCATCTAGCTCCCACCTCCCCCAGGTCTTCACTGAGCGGACAGAGGAGCTATTAAGAGACCAAAGCAAATGAATGAATAAAATACGGTTCCACAAACCACGACAAGGAGACGGCAGCAGGGCCGCAGTGTGAAGAATCCTAGGACAAAGATGGTGACCTTGGCTGGTCACCACAAAAAGGAGCAGGGAGAGTCAGAGACCAAACGCGGCCCGTGAGAGGCAGGCGTGTCCCGGAGAACCCCAAGATGGTCCAAGGCTGACTGGATCCACAAACGGGGATCACCTAAGGGGATCTTGAGAATCAAAGCACGCTGGCACCCCGGATCGGGACGACGGCTTAAGCACTGATGTCTGCCTCCACTCCCGCCGAAGACCTCACTGAGAATCAAGAATTCTGTGTTCGTTTTTACAAAAGCAGAAACCCACGGGGCAAAGAAAACAAGGCAGAAACCACACCGAAGAGAAGTCAACCAGTGTGAGGAGCGGAGAGGCAACTGGACCGGTGGGAACCGGTTCAGGACAGTGAGACTGGAAGTTCAGTGTCCGCTTGAGAGGGGGGCAGGGCGCACGACACAAATGCCAACAAGGAAACCCAGGGAGGCTCCAGAGAGGTGGGAACGCACCGCGCAGATGGTGTGAATGAACTGGAGCAGAAAAGGACCGGCGGGAAGTCTGGCTGGAGAACAGACTACCGGGTCCTCTACCGCTTCCCACTCACCCAGACAACCAGGGAGGACCTCACCCAGACAAACCACAGAGGGTCTGGCTGGACACAGGACAGCAAAGGGCATGAAGTAAAAGCAGCAGACTGAACTAGAGATCCCAGCCCTCCTCCCCAGGCCCTGGAGTCAACATCCTTACAGGGTAACAGCAGCAACAGCCCTACCTTTCCCCAGAAGCACAACCACCCCAAAGGGCGCACCCCAACCTACACCCGCAAAACCACTAACACAACAAAACGCCAGACAGTCCAACAGGCACCATGGGCAGAAGTGCCTTTTCTCCATCATCAGAAAAATCAGCGATGAGAGGACGAGCAAGGATGCAGACCTGAGCAGCCCAAAACCAGCCAGGCCTGGCTAAGCCCACGCGGCACTTAGGGAACGCACGCACGTTCTATTCAAACACACGGGGAACACGCACCAGGACAGACTGCGCTGGGGGTCACAGAACAAACCTTATTAAATACAAAATAACTAAAATTACTCCAAGTGTGTTCTCCACCAAGAACAGAATTAGGAATTACACCTGAGATCAGTAACAGAAAAATCCTCCCCCGTCTGCAAGGCAACCAACATGGCCCTACACAGCACGATGGCCAGAGAAAGTCTCAAAGAAAATAAGAAAACATCTTGAACTGAATGAAAATGGAAATACAACACATTAAAATATGTGGGGCTCAGTTGAAACAGTGTTTGGGGGAAAAATGTAGAGTATAAAATGCTTTTATTAAAAAGGAAGACAGGTCTCAAGTCAATAATCTCGGCTTACAGAATAAAATCTAGAAAAAGAAAACCAAACTAAACTCAGACCGTTAAGAAATAATAAAGATAAAAGCAAAAATCAATGAAATTTTCAGCAAAAATAGGAAAAACAAAATCAGTAAAACCAAAAGTTGGTTCTTAAAAAAAAAAAACTGGAATTGAGAAACCAATTTGTGATCAAGAAAAGACAAACACAAATTCAGGGATGGAAGCGGCAATACTGTCACTGATCCCACAGGAACTTCTGAAAACGAAGGTCAAGTCCCCTCCGCAGCCGCCCGCCTCAAGGGGAAGGTGCGCCAGGACGCCCCGCGGGTAAGCATGGGCCCCGCGGCGTCTGCCCAGCCAAGAGCGGAGCGTGGGAGCGGGAAGGGCTCCGGCAGAGGAGACAACAGACAGGCACACCTCAGCCGGGCGGTCCGGGTCAAGACCGCGTGGCCATGTGACGGGCGCCCTGACACCATACACCCCAGATATAAGGCGATGAGAAGGGCACTCTGGACTCTGGGGCCTTCTGCCCAACAGACAGAATCGCAGTCTAGTTACAGCGAAAAAAACACCAGCTAAATCCCAACTGAGATGTTCTATAAAGTAACTTTTAATCCTCAAAACTGTCAAGGTCATCGAAAAAATAGTAATTTTTAAAGTCTGAGAAACTATCAGAGCCAACAGGAGCTCCAGGAGACAGGACAGCTCAAGGTCACACAGTGCCCTTGCAGGAACCCGATAGGAGCAAAAGGACATCAGGCAGTAGTGAGGAAATTGGAAAGTAAGTAGTGACTGTGTTGTGACAGTTACTAACCGCACGACCGTACCATCCTACTGTAAGCCACCAGTAACGGGAAAGGTGTGCAGTACAAGGGGACGCTCTATGGTAGTCCCCATTTTTCTGTAAATCGAAACTCATTCTAAAATTGAAGTTTATTCTTAAAAACATACCGATTCTAAACCCCATCTTTCATCAATCAGGATGTACTGATCTGGAATGGGGCCACGGTATCACCATGTTTTCAGGGGCGCCTGGGTGACTCGACTCTTGACTTCAGCTCGGTCACGAACTCGGGGTCCTGCAACCGAGCCCCGAGGTGGGCTCACATTCAGCAGAGTCTGCTTCAGATTCTCTCCTCCTCCCTCAGTCCCACCACCTCCCCCCGCCCTGCTCACTCTTAACAAATAAAATCTTTTCTTAAAAAATAGGTTTTTAAAGCTGTCTTAAAAACTTAAAGAATAAAGCAAATTAAATGGGGGGATGGGTTTCTTTGGTAAACTCAGAAAAGAATGTCAGCACACAGCATACAACAGATACAAGAATCAACACAAATTATGTCACAGTAAGCATAAAACATGAGCCTACAGCACTCTGAGAGGGAAAAAACCAACAGAAGATATCTTTGGGACTTGGAGTTAGACAAAGAGATTCTACATAAAATACCAAAATCCTGAACCATAACAAAATGTGATTACTGGAGTCCATCCATGATTAAACTCTTGCTGTGCAAAGGAAATAGACTGTTTCAGCGGAAACCTAACATTAGCGAGTGGTTTTAATTTTCTCCCTCATACTTTCCCACACTTTTAAAGTTTTCTAAGTAGTAAATGTTAATTTTATACATATAAAAAGTGGCACTGGGGTACTTGGGTGGCTCAGCTGGTTATGCGTCTGACTCTTGATCTCAGCTCAGGTCCTGATCTCTGGGTTGGGTTCGAGCCCCCCAGCACTGCTCAAAGAAAAACAAAATGTGGCATTGGAAACCACTTGCTTACAGAGCGGTACCCGTGCAACTATTCTACTTAAAGAATACTTTAGATTCCCAGGATCCTGAGTTCCACAAAAACACGGTTTACTAACCACCTATTCAAGTACATCAGACTAACATCTCTACTCCAAAAAGTCTCATTAAGTTTTGGTTTTTCTAACAAACACTCAAACCTCCTCCACACCAGAGGTGCGCGCCTGCCACCGCCCCCTCCCCCCTCGCCCTTGTCTCTGCACTAGGCACCCGTGGTCCCCTGCAGCATCTCACCCCGCCTCGCTGGCCACCTTCCATCTCCCCAGCTCCTTGCCGACCTAGTTTGTCGTCTCGCGCTCCTGCTGACATCAAACATGTGCAAACCCATCCACTGGGTCTGGGTAAAACCCACCTAGCTTCCCAGGGCAGCCGCGGACCGCGGACTATTGAACGCGCAGCGGTAATTAGCTGTTTAGCGAGCCCAACCGCCGAAGATGAGATTGCGAAGTATCACACAACGTTCGCTACGGATCTCCAGGCTAACACTCCCCAAATCCTACTCGGTTTCTAGAGCAGCGCTAAGCTCAGTCGGGAACTGAAGAGTAACTCCCAAGCGCCCGCTCCACGCCCCACAGCAGCATGGGAACAGAGCAGCAGCTAACGAGGCCGTCTCGGTGAGGATCCGAGAAACGAGGCAAGGAACTGCACAGGTGATGAGCCTGTGGTCAGAGCTGCTCAGAAAACGGGCAGGACCCCACGACGGCAAATGACAGGGGGGACCCTGTAAGGTGGGCCGCTTGGGGAAGGCCTCTCTGAGGAAGCAGCCCTCAGCCAGGAGGAGCCGCTCGGCGCTACCGTGTGCCACCGTGTGCCACCGTGCGCCCGGTTTCCCAGAGGATGCCGGCGCCGGCGGGTTCAAAAATCCCAATCAGACAAGCTGAAGTCAGTCCGTTGGGACCCAGGTGAAGAGGCCAGGCTGTAGCTCTTTGATGACTGGCTCCGTCCAAGATTAAAAGAGTATTCAACTTTTTTTTTTTTAAGCCACAACACACCTCAGGAATGTCTTCTGTTCCCACTTCGGAACCACTCTGGGCGCCGGCAGCCTGGAAGGGAGGCCAGGGCTACTCCACCCAACCTCTGAGAAGAGCTGTTTGAGAAGACCCGGTACCAGTGACTCCGGGACACAGCGTCCGACAAGTCCCAGAGAGCGGACACTGCGCTGACCCCACACGCCGTCCCTAGAACAAGCAGGTGAGGCCAGAGGCAAAAAGCCATGCCGCGGGCAGGGCCAGCACCATCTGCCTCCACTCAGCTCACAAACAGGGAAGCTGTCAAGTGCGACACAGAAGAACAAGAGGGAGTGACTTCAAGACATCAGGTGCTGGACCCAGAGACGTGGGTCCCCCCAGCTCCGAGAGGAGGGTACTAAGTACCCCAACCCCCCGCGCCACTGGGAGCTGAACACACGAGCTCACAGTGCACACGTTCTTCAGCACAGAGTAAGCACTTGAGAAGCATCAGCTGTTCTTATGGCTGTTGTTATTAATCTGAAAATGTCATTTCAAGGCATGTCATGTCTACTACCACCATCAGAACCATAACTCAACAAAGCACCCAGATTTAACCTCTCAGCAAGGTAACCTGCCCTTCATCCTGTAGATGACACACAGGAAACAGATTCTCTTCCCCCGGTGTGATGAGGCTTCTTCTCCAGAAAGAACCCAGAAGGATTCCACGCACACTCAGATCAAGCAAAACTGCACGCAGACTCAGGGAGAGGCGCGTGCGGCTCAGGTGAGCGCAAACACCGCCGCTGGGTACCCTCGAGGGCTTCCCAAGGTGACCAGGGCAGACTGAGCTGACCGGTAAGGCTGGACTCTGTGCCTCGATGCTCCTCCTGCCTGCAGACGACGCTGCTGTCCTACGGGACTGGCAGACAAGGCACCAGCTGAACCACAGCTGCTTCGGGGCTTGGGAGTCAGCTGCGCCGCGTCCCTCCAGCCGTGGGTCTCTGTGACCGCGCGCTCATATGCGCTCCCACAGAATCAGCACGCGGAGCCAGGGCCCCAAGATTAATTCCGGATAAGCATCCCATGTGCACAATTCAAAGGGACAAGGCACGAAGACTCAGACGCAGTAAGACACTGTCGACACAACAAACAACAAACAACACAACAAACACAACAAACAACAAACGCACCGCTAGGCCGCAGGGGCCCGACCGTAAGCCAGCGGTCGGGCTGACACACATCGCAGGTGAGCCCGTGCACAGCGCCCACCGAATGAGACGCGGTGCTCCCCGACGAGAACTAAAATACAAACACATTGCTCTGGATCTTTGGTTCTCAGAATGTTTGGTCTCAGGCCCCCTTTACACTCCTAGGATTAAGGATCCCCAAAAGGGTCTGGTTATTTATACAGGCTAAACCTATCAACACTTACTGTATTAGAAATTTAAATCAGGATTTTTGCATATAAACTCATTTTAAAATGGTAAGACTACTAAGCACAACTTTAAAATGAAGCCTAAAACTCTGGAATTTCAGTATGTTAATGGATATTTGGTGCACATTTCAACATACATTTATTATAAGTTTTATTATTTTTAAAATTTTTATTTATTTAAGAGACAGTGAGCTGGCCCGTGAGTAGGGCAGAGAGAGAAGGAGCAGCAGGCTCCCTGCAAGCACAGAGCCTCACCACGCAGGACCTGACCCGAGCTGCAGGCAGACGCTGCACTGAGCCCACCAGGCACTCCTGATGTAGGTTGTAATGTCTAGTTAACACACACCGATTTCCCTAAGTATATGTAATCAGGGAAGACCATAACTTACCGGGAACTTCATCAAGAGCTCCACACCATTTCTGGAAAATCATGACACCAACAGCAATACCACCTGAGGTACAAGACCCTGGAAGACAAGACTCCTTCCTTGGCCTGCTCTGTGGCTCAGGACACACTCCCAACGCCACTATGTGGCAGGGCGGTCCCCTTAACTCAAGGCACAGGGTACTGTCATCACACCTGAGCATTTGCGTGGAAATACTCACCAAAGAGAAACTCCTGTATTTGTTATCTCTTGTGAAAAAGTGAATTCCAAAGTATGAAAAGGAAAGTTGTCCCTGACAGAGGTGCAACACTGTAACATCAAGAACATGGTTTCCAGACAGAAAGGACTCTCCAAAGACATAATACGCAAAACGTGCTCTGGGAGAGAGGCAGGGATGTAGAGAGAATTTTCCAGTCACTGGCTGGCAGTATGCATTTCTAGCAAATTCTCAGGCTGGGAAAGGTGAGAAATAATGGTTATACTAACTTTATAAAAATGTCAAATACCACCACACTTTGGTGCTTTGTTTCTGAGGGTCTCTTGAAGCCAACTAGAAAAAAATTTTTAGTACTCTATGAAAAACTGATTCATGTTAAACTCATATTAAAAGTGACAAGGGGGGGGCACCTGGGTGGCTCAGTGGGTTGAAGCCTCTGCCTTCGGCTCAGGTCATGATCCCAGGGTCCTGGGATTGAGTCCTGCATTGGGCTCTCTGCTCAGTGGGGAGCCTGCTTCCTCCTCTCTCTCTGCTGCCTGCCTCTCTGCCTGCTTGTGATCTCTGTCAAATAAACAAAATCTTTTAAAGAAATAATAAATAAATAAGTAAGTAAAAGTGACAAAGAGCACCTGGAAGCCCAGTTAACCAAGTGTCCAGCTCTTGATTTCAGCTCAGGGCTCAGGTCATGATCTCAGGCTCCCGGGATGGAGCCCTGCATCAGGCTCCTGGCTGGGCTTGGAGTGGCTCAAGACTCTCTCGCATCCTCCCTCTCTCACCTCTTCCCCAGCTCCCCCTAGCTCGCTCACTCCCTCTCTCTCTCTCTCTCAAAAAAAAAAAAAAAAAAAAGTAACAAGTAGGGGAGCCAGTGGGCTCCTCTGGAGTATGCAAGGTCATGAGTTCAAGCCCCACATCAGCGTAGGGCTTACTTTAGGGAAAAAATAAAAATAAAACAAGTATCAATTATTCCTCAGTATGACAGCACTGAAAAAGCAATACTACAAAAGTATACGGCCAAGTGTTTGTGACAGGACAGTAAAGAAAGGGTTAACCAGAAGTTCTTAGTGATCAGATAAAACACCACTAGTGAAACAATGTTTTCAGGGCACCTGGGTGGCTCAGACCTCAGGCAGCTGCCTCAGGCTCAGGTCCTGCTCCAGCTCCCTCTCTGGCTGGCGCGCACACGCTCGCGCTCCGTCGAATAAATAAAATCTTTTTAAAAAAAAGAAACATTTTTCCACGTCAAACACTGTAAAGTGAGCAATTAATATGCTCCTTTGCTCACTGAGGCAGAACAAGTCAGAACGAGGCCATTCAGGGCCTGCAAACTCCTCCATCAACAGCATAATCTGGAATCCCGGACGCAACCGGCAACCGGGTGCTCAGAACCACCCCGGGAACCGTCTCACTCGGAGGCCCCCGCGGATCTCGGAGACCCCGTTTGCTCCTAGTTTCAACGCGGCTCTGAGTAGAGGGAGAGGAGGGCGCAGAGTCCGCGGAAGCTGGTGCTTTTACGTCCTGGAAGGGCTCAAACAGTCCATCAACAGGAGCCTCAGATTTTTTTTAGAAAAGATGTTTTTCATGCAGAACGGCATGCTACGTCACGGCGAGTGGCCGTCAGCGTCCAGCCGCGAGGACGGGAGCGGAGGAGCGCGGTCCGTCCCGAGGAAAACCGCGGACCCGCCGGGACAACGAGGCGCGCCGCATCCACCCCCGCCCCGACTCTCCGCCGTCCGCCGGCCCCGCGGGAGCGTCTCCGAGCTCCCCCCGCCCCGCCGCCCCACTCCACCGCCGCTGCGGCATTTCCCGCTCACCCGCGCTTTCCCTCGGGCTACGCCTCCGCCCGGCACGCAGCGGCCCCCGGGGCTCGCCCTGCGCCCCGCATCCCGCCTGGCGGCGTCGAGCCCACAACCCGCCGACGAGTCACGCCCCAGCGCCAAACCGCGGAAAACGCAGCGAGAACCGCGCGAAGTCCGTGTCCCTCAGCGGGGCCAGCGTGTCCCCCTCCCCCGCCCGCCCGCCCGCCGCGCCAGCTCCGGCCGCGACGCTCCCGCAGCGAGTTCGCGGAGGGTCTCCGGCCGCGTCAGGCGCTGACGGACGGTCCCAGCGTCCTCGACCCCCCAGAACCCCCCCCCGGTGCTCCCCGCCCGCGCGTCCCGCAGGAGAGGCCGAGCGGCGCCGTGTCCCGAGGCCCCGCGCCTGCCCAGCGTCTTCCCGCCCCGTCCGGGCTGCGCCCGGGACCGGCGTCTGCGGGGCGCCCGGGAGGTCCGGGGCGGCGTTCGGGCCTCAGGAGGGAAACGCGGCCGGGAGCGGCCGGGTCCGCCCGAGGCGCAGGGAGCGGGGCGGCTCGCCGCGTCCCTCCCCGGAGACAGCCGAGTGACCCGCGCCCCGCCGGTCCGCCCGCGCGCTCCCCACCAGGCGGGCGGAGGCCAGTCGCCGGCCCCGGCCCCCCCACCCGGACCGCGGCGCGGGGAGCGGTGACTCAGCCCCGCCGGGCCCGGCTCCCTCCCGCCTCCACCCGGGGCTGCAGCGCTCCGCCGGCCCGCCCGGGAAGCCGGTCCCCGCGCCCCGGTCTCCCGGACGCGCCCCGGCCGCGAGCCGCCGGCCCGGCCCCGCTACCTTCGCTCCTGCCCAGGATCCGGCAGCACAGGTTCTGCAGCAGCACGTTCGGGGACTTCTGGTCCGGGGTCGCCATGCTCGCCCGGCCGGCCCACGGGGGCCCTGCGGAGCCCCCGGCCGTGCCCGGCCGCCCCACGCCTCGCGGGCTCCCGACCTGCGGGACAGGCTACGGCCCCGCGGGCAGCGCCGGCGACGAGGCCGCCATTTTAACGGAACCCGCCGAAACCGCGCGCCCTTCCCACAATGCTCCGCTTCTTCCGGCGCCCGGGGCGGCGGGTGCGCCCGCCTGAAAGTCCCCCGGTCCGTCCGCGCGCGGCCCCCAGACCACAGCCGCCGGGCCTGGAGGGTTCCGGCCCCGGCGCCCCGGCCGCCCCTGCCCCAGCTGCCCTAGGATCGCGGAGCCGCCACACACGTCCGCGCCGCAGCGTCAGCACCGCACCGCCCCACCCACGTCCCCCCGGAGGGTCCCGACGGCCCCGCCCCCCACGTGCCCCCGGAGGGTCCCGACGGCCCCGCCCCCCACTTGCCCCCGGAGGGTCCCGACGGCCCCGCCCCCTGCACACACAACGTCGCCGCCAGACGGTCGGTGGCCCAGGTCTCCAGAAGGCCCGCGCCCCGCACCCGGGGCCGAAGCGCGGGGTCAAAGGGGGGCACCAGGCCCCGCGGACCCCGCCCGGCCGTCCTGCCGCGCCCGCTGGGATCCGGGCCGCAGAGCCAGTGACAGTCCTGACGGCAGCGCCGCGGGCGCTCAGACGGGCCAGGCCCGGAGGGAAGGACGCGAGAGACGCTGGCCCAGCAGAGCAGACGTGCGGGGGTCGGACGGTTGCCCCCGTCGCTGACATGTGCAGGGACGGGCCTTTGCTCTTCCAGATTCAAGACGGAAACACGACCGACGGGTGGACAAGTAACAGGGTGTCCCGAGAGTTGGTCACTGGGATACAACACGGAGGACCCCGCACTTTAAAGAAAGCCCGGAAGATGGGAGGCCGACGCCCCTCAGGAGGACGAGGCCGCAGCTGAGCGATCACTGCTGACCCCACCGCTATCTCCCCCATCCCAAAGGTCCATCCCGGCTGCGCAGGTGACCGCGGGGAAGGAGGGGGTCCCGGAGGTCCTGAGACGATTTCAGGGACATCGGGACCTGCCCTGCCAGGAGACCGCGGAGGCCAGAAGCCCTGCGGGGAGCCCTCAGGAAAGTCTTGTGTGTGTCCCCCGGAGGACTGGCCTCGGATGCCCGCACAGAGAGGGCGCTGATGGCCTTCGGCAGCCGATGTGAGGGCCACTGACAGAAGTTGTGGCCGCGTGCAGAGTCGGCCAGAGGACGTTTGACCTCTGTCTTCATCCCTCTGTCTGGACTCCAGGTCAAGGAGTTAGAGAGAGCAGATGTCACCTTGTCCCGTCATCAGGCGCTTATAGGCTGGTGAGGTCTGGCTGCACAGGGTTGGGGAAAAGCCATGAGCTATAGGACAAAAAGACCTTGGGTTCCTCCGGTGTCACTAAGGACAAGACTGGACGGGCGGCCTGCCTGGAGGGTTCGAGCGTGGCTGTGTGTAGGACAGGCCGACGCTGCCCGGAGTGCTCTCAGAGCCACCGACTGCCCTTCCCTGATCTGCCCCACGTTCTCGAGAACGCTGTCGCACAAGCTCCCGGGACTGCTGGCCTCCTGGCAGGCTCAGGCAGGCGAGTCCCTGCCAGGGAAATGGAGGTCAGAAGGAGACGACCGAGGCTCTCACCCTAGAGCCTCTGCCCCTCGCCCAGCCCACGCCAGCAGCCGAAGGTCCTCTGTGGCAGCGCCTGCGACCTGCCCGCCCCTCCCGTCATGTTCCAGCCTCCTCCGTGCAGCTCTCCTCACAGACCTCACTCCCGTCAGAAGATTCCAGAACACGGGACACAGGGACATCAGCTCTTCTTACTGTCTCTTCAGCCCTAGGCAAAGTAGCCACTTCCTGCCCCGCTCCTCTGAGTGCCTCCCCGCCAACTTTGACCCCACGTAACCAAGTCCTGTGTCGGTCCCTGTGCTGAAATTGCCTGAGGGGTTTCCGTTTTGCAGACTCAACCTCACTGTATAGTTCATGCTAATGGGAATGGTCCCAGGGAAGAGATCCTCCGTCGGGATCCCAGGAGTAGGTAGCTCCCACGCCCGAGCTCAGACATGTTGGGATTTCTTTGTTTAAGATTTCATTTGTTTGAGAGAAAGAAGGTATGCGGGGGATGTGCAGACAGAGAGGGAGCGAGAGAATCTCAAGCACACTCTACCCTTGAGCGCAGACGCGGGGCTCGATCTCACGACCCCGAGATCATGACCTGAGCTGAAATCAAGAGTCAGAAGCCCAACTGACTGAGGCCCCCAGTGTCCCCAGTTGGGGATCTTTCTGAATGTGAAATCCGTTCATGTCGAAGCACCAGAGCTGACTGAGAGCAGGGCCTAGGGAGGGAAGCGGCTGCTGTTGTCCACTGTCTTGGCAGCAAGGATGGCATCAAGACGGCAGCGCGGTGGCCCGGACTGGGGTGCGTCTGGGACGCCTGGGTATAGCTTAATGCGCAGCCATAGGGCCATGGAGCTCCCAACAGTGGCCCTAAGAAGAAGCTCTTATGTTTTTTTAATTTATTTAAGATTTGATTTATTGAGAGGGAGAGAGAGAGAGAGTGCGTGAGTGGGAAGAGGGCCAGAGGGAGAAAGAGAAAGTCTCAAGAAGACTGTGCTCTGAGCAGGGAGCCCAAGTGGGGCTCGAACTCACGACCCTGAGATCACGACCCAAGCTAAAACCAATAGTTGGATACCTAATCAACTGAGTCACCCAGGAACCCCTCCTTTTTTTTTTTTTTTAAGATTTTTTACTTATTTTTAAGTCATGTCCATACCCGACATAGTCAGAACTGAGGGCCAGACCCCAGACTCAACTGTTCAGGTTGTAAATTATGACGTAAGTTGGACGCACTGTCTTGCCAAGACTCTTCTATTAAGGGCAGGTCATTAATTGAGAAGAAGAGGGACCCTGAGATGTGGGGCGGAGACATCAGAGTCACTGTGAAACCGCTAGTCAGCGACTAGCTAGCGGGACCTGCAAAATCCAGAGCGTAAAACCTCCCCTGCCTGCTGAGAATGGCCTTGAAACCCTTGACTGCCTGAAACAATTAGAACAGATTTTTCTCGTTAGCAAGCAATTAAGCTGGAATTCCACAGGATGCAAGTAATCCAGAGGAAGGAATGAAAGCCTGCGACAGAGACACAAAAATGAAAAATGACCTTCCAAATCAACCAGGCGGTCCGTGTAACTAAAGCCTTCTCCTCATGGGGCGCCCGGGGGACTCAGTGGGTTAAGCCTCTGCCTTTGGCTCAGGTCATGATCCCAGCGTCCTGCGGGGAGCCTGCTTCCCCCTCTCTCTCTCTGCCTGCCTCTCTGCCTACTTGTGATCTCTGTCTGTCAAATAAATAAATATAACCTTAAAAAAAAAAAAGTCTTCTCCTGGGGCGCCTGGGAGACTCAGTTAAGAGTCTGTCTCTGGCTCAGGTTGCAATCCTGGGGTCCTGGGGTCGAGTCCCGCATCGGACTCCCTGTTCTGGCAGGAAGCCTACTTCTCCCTCTCCCTCTGCCTCTCCTCCACGTGCTCTCCCTGTCCCCACCAAATAAATCAATAAATAAATCTTAAGTAAGTGTTCTCCTGTCTTCAAAATGCCCTGCAGAGGCAAGAGTCCTAATTGATACCAGATTTTGATCAATCAGACTTAATCAAATCCCAGTAACCACTGCAGAACGTGTTGATGATTACCAAACCGCAAAAGAAAGAATATAGAATGAAAAGTTTTCCTCCACAAAAAGAGATAAAAATGACCAGAGAGCAAGAGGAACAAGAGAAAATGTACCACGACGGTACACTGAAGCCAAAACGTCTCCCGGGTTACGCTGAATGGAAGGGCCTCCTGTCCACACGGTCAGGCCCAAGCCTAGGTGCACCGCGTGGTGCGTTCTGTGCACCTGCTCCGCACCGTCGGTATGGACCCTGATGGCGAGCCTGAGGTCATGCTGGTCCAGCTTCTCCAGGGCAAAGTCACTCTTCTCTTCCTGTCCACATGTGCTGCCCACGCTTTCGGCGTGGGGAACTAGGCTCTGCGTCCCTAAGTAGGAGGTGTCTGCGTGGACTGAACGAGACCGGTGTCCGCGGGAGATCTCTGTGTTCTCCCCATTCCGTACCATCTGTTCAGTCCAAACGTGCCCCTGCGCGTGGGCTTCACACTCTGGGCTGCATCCCCACCACCCCACCCACCCACATCGCTCCGGCCTCGACCCCCCACACCTCTCTCCCTTGGTTCCCGTCTCCCTTCGACACCCGCTCATCATCGTGAGGTTTTAGAAATTAACGGGTTTGGGACGCCTGGGTGGCTCAGTGGGTTAAGCGGCTGCCTTCGGCTCAGGTCATGATCCCAGCGTCCTGGGATCGAGTCCCACATCGGGCTCCTTGCTCGGCAGGGAGCCTGCTTCTCCCTCTGCCTCTGCCTGCCGCTCTGTCTGCCTGTGCTCGCTCTCTCTCTCTCTGACAAATAAGTAAACAAAATCTTTAAAAAAAAAAAAAAAGAAAGAAATTAACGGGTTTGCTTCGTGTTTTGTACTACCGTTTTAGATTTGTAAAAATATTGAGTAGAGGGCACAGGAAGTCCCACATGGGCACCCGTCCCTGGCACGCCGTGTCTCCTGCTAGTAATATCTTGCCTCAGTGGGTGTATTTGTTACAGCTGGTGAGCAGCGCGGACACACTGTTAATAACCGAGGTCCACGGCTTACTCGGTCCAGGGCCCCGGGTGACGGCAGAGCGGGAGGAGACTGTACGTTCCATGGTCACGTACCGGGCTCTCCTCTTTCCTGTGAAGAGGGCCCTCGTCTGACAGGGCTGTGCGGGATGCTGTGGCCCACAGCTTCTGCCTGTCGCCCTTCGGTCCGCTTGTCCCCTGTGCGCAGGCTACTCCGCACGAGAGGGCAGGTCTGTCTCCCTTCGCCCCGACAGAGACTAACTACCTTTCACGTCCCATGCGACGCTGCGGGAAAACTGCATTCGGGCTGTCTACATCGGAAGCCTCGTGGGCAGTGCGATCACAGGGACGCACCGCTGCTGCTCAGATCTTCTCACGCCTCATTGACTGAGACTCATGAACGAGCTTTCAAATTACACTTAATTTATAAATTGATATTCACGTTTCTTTTTTGAGGTCATAATGATTT